TCTTCTTCCTTTCCTGCAGGCATCCCAGCAAGCACAGGGCAAAAGAGTGGCTGCCAGGAAATAGGAGCTGGAGCAGATAGGGTGAAGCAGGGGCGCGTCCTCAGAGCTTGGCGTCCTCACAGCTCTGGCTGTGAGGAGGACCTCAGTCCTGGTCCCTGGGGTCCGTGGGTCCCAGAACAGCCATCCCACGTGGCCCAGCCGTTGTCTTGCAGTAGAAGCAGCTCATCGCCCAGCTGGCAAAGCAGCTGCAGGCTAAGAGGGAGGAGATCGAGGTAGTGTGGAGGGGTGCGGGGATCGGGGCTGCTTGCCCCCAGGCTGGGGACCTGCAGGAGGGCTGCAGCAGGCAACGGGCACTCACACTTTTGTCTGCCAGGTGCTGCTCCAGGAGAAACAGCGCCTGCAAGAGGAGCTGGAGGAGCTGGAGCTGGAGAATGCGTGCCGAGTGGGACTGGGCCCTGCAGCCCATGCCTGCACCTGGGGCAACAATGGGGCTGCAGGGCTGCTGGGCTTTGGGCTCGGCTTCCGTTTGGCATGTGGCGTGACGGAGCAGCCCCATCCCAGCCCCCTGGGGTGGGCACACACTGCTGGGGAGCCCCTGCGGTGACAGAGGCCGCCTGTGCCACTGCGCTGCCAGGCTCCCAGTGTCCTGCACGAGCCCTGGATGTGCAGCAGGGCCCGACCACCATCCCTGCCCCGTGTTCACCTGCGGGAGAAGAAGGAGCAGGTGAGGAGACGACGGCTCGCCTTCTGGATGCAGTGAGTGTCCCCTAATTGCCCTGTGCCCAGCTGCCAGCAGCCGGGCTCCCGGCAGGGGGCTGATGGCCTGGACCCCCACTGCCACCAGCAGGGCTCAAAACAAAATGCTAACAACAACCTATCTAAAACAAAGCTATTTCTACTCTTGGATTTTAAACACTTGTGATTTGTGAGTCCATTTTGGACTTTGTTTTGTTGTCAAAGGGGCTTATTTAGCACTGTGATCCTATCAAGGCACTTCCAGCTCAGATAACGAGACCTTCCTCCAGTGCTCCTATCCTTTGATGTAATAAATGCACACTCTGTTACTCTGTTTGACAGGAGCCCGGGAAGACATTGAAGACGTTGAAGCAGCTTTGGAGATGGAGTGCCTTAACTTCTTTCGTGTTACATTGACCAATTTTTTCAGAGACTGGGGGTAGTATTGGTGAAAATTTTTCAAAATGAAATGAAGTCCAAAAATAAATCCAGAGGTATTATTTAGTGAAATACAAGTTTAAATTAACATCTCTGTATCTTTCTACCTCTATCGTCATTCCACTGGTATTTCTTTGTAATATGGTACCCTTGTCTCCCTAATACGGGAGGGAGAGAAGGTTCTTTTAATATACATATGCCTGATGGCGAGATTAGGGGACGATGGGTGAAATGCTAGCCCAACCAGATTACTACAAGTCCTAGTTGTTGAAGGAGGTGGGGAAGGGAAGGTGGGTGGTAAAGACAGGAAATAAGAGCAAGGAGTCTTTGCAGAAAGCAGGAGAGAGATAGTCACCACTAGGTTTGGTTCATAGCTCAGACGCTGATCTTCAGAAGTGGTGGGTTGTCAAGGGTTGTTGTTTGGGTGATGATGACAGCAGTGGCAGCAGTACCAACTTCTATACATAAGTCCAAAGTGATCGAGTCAGCTCTCTTTGGAGCGGCAGCTTCTGGCTTTGGGATCTCAGCAGAAACTCCTTTGTTCCCATCTTCCACACGTTGTCAGCAAAGAAGAGGGAGCGGGGAGGTGCTCACCTGCATCCTGTTTTTCACAGTACGTGATGGTATAATTCCCCAGTCTCCCACACGAAGCTGGAGTTATTTGCTCCCAGGCCAGATCTTCTGCTAGTGAAAGCTCCTGAGAACTCTCTTCTGAAGGCAAGGAGTTCCAAAGGAAATGCTTTCCAATGTCCACAAAGTTATGTTGACTGCCACACGGTGACACTCATCAGTCACCTCCTGGGTAAGTCAGTTAGAGTCTTATCCCCAAAAATACCTCAAAAAGCAAGCCTGGAGCCAAGAAAAAAAAGAAGGCTTCAGACCCTTGTGTATTGCCATACTTGACAAGAATACTCCTGCATAATTGTCAGTCACTGATAGTATTCCTGTTTTATGTACTAACTAGATAACAGAACTCTTGCAGAGAAATAGTAGTATTGAAGCGCAAAGTCAGACACGTAAACATTTGCAAATGCTACATTTAATATTTCCCAATGAAATGTTATTCATGTGCTATTGAGGATCCATTATTGTACGGCCTTGAATCATGTGATCACTTGCTATTTTTCGTCAAGTCTTCATCTTAGGTACGGCATGTAAGTCGCTTACTTAGTCAGCAACTTTTCAATCTTTTACATTTTTCTGTTCTGTGAACAGCCCGATACCTTATTTACCGCATAGTATTCCAACTGTGCTTTGAAAACAGAACAGTTAGAATCATGGAATCACCAAGGTTGGAAAAGACCTCAAAGATCACCCAGTCCAACCGTTCGCCTATTGCCAATAGCTGAATGTAGACAGACGGCCATTAGGGCTCTTCCAAGTAGTCAGATGTTGTGTAGAGCAAAAACCCACCTGCAGGGCAAGATTGAGATTAAGTGAAAATTGAACGAGTTTTGGAGCCATTTCAACATTTTTCCCTTGGTTTTTCCAGCTCCAGGGATGAGAAGAAGCTCTGAAAGAACTAGAAGCCTCTCTGGATAAACCAAAAGAGGTGGTCGAATTTAAGGATGCCTATTGCCTGAAGTGCCATTTGACTTGGTGTTTGTTATCTGGAGCCGTCATGCGTTTGCCAGCTTTAGTGCTTCTTTCTTTAAAGCACTTGCAATACGGAGTTGGAAGCTGATCAGATGGCTTTAAAAGTGAAGCTGACAGGAGCTGTGAGTGCTGCAGGAGCCCTGTTGTGTGCAGCTGTCTGCGATGGGTGCATGGAGCAGCAGTGAAGATGTGCAGCTGTTTCCTTCAGGCAGACACGCAGCCATAACCCTGCCTTCTGCATCGCTTCCTGTGGATTTTTGTTATTTCCTAGAATCCTGCAAGCTTTCTTTGTTGTTTCGATTTCATCGATAGCTTTGCTTTGCTATTTTTTGCTTTGCTCTGCTGCATGAGAAGCGTTGAATCGCAGCCTGACCCACTGACGGAGCAGCTGAGGAAAGCAGCCGGTGAGCCGTGCGAGCGCAGCTGAAGGCAATGGAGCCTGGCTGGAAGGGGCGGAGCCTGGCTGCCCCTCCTGGAGCTCCTGTAAGGGCTGACTGGCCCGGGGGCAGGGCTTGTTTCTGGAAGGTTCTGTGCTGTGGAGTTTGTTGTAATATGCAGATATTGTGCTGGTGTTTGTGCCGCAACGTGCGTGATGGCTTTCTTTCTGCTTTGCTTTTTGTGTTGCGCGGGGCCGGGGGGCGGGGCGACGCGCGGCCGGAGGTGCGGGGGGGGGGGGGCCGGGGCGTTTCCTTTTTTTTCTTTGCTGCTGTGTTGTTGCAGCTGCTCTTCTGTATTGTCGTTGCTTTGTTCTTCGTGAATATTCAAGCATGTTATCTCTGCATTGGCTGTCATCCAGCGTTCTCTGCTCTGTTTTGCAGGTCAGCTCGTGCTGGAAGTTGGTGGTGTGGCTGTGTGAATGAAGGCCAGTTCAGGAGCAGCTGCTGATGGAAGGAATGAAGTCCACGTTAAAGAGCTGAAGCATCTCCTGGTTAGGTGTCAGAGCCAGCAGTAGCGATGCCTGTCTGTCTCTGTGAAAACCAGAGGGCTGGCTCGTCCAAGTGGTTGCTGATTGATGTGTGAGAGCACCTGCCTTCTCCAACTGAATGATAAGAAAACTATACGTGCTGAATCATTTCTTAGGCAGATTATGCCGAAGTTGTGAATATGCTCTCCAATGTTTCCTTTAGTGATAAACTGTGTTTCGGCACTGTGGTGGTCCTGTCTCTGATGTGGAGCACTGCATCTCTTGCAAGCCTTGTGTGCCCGTTTGCATGAACCTTCCTTTCTTTCACTTTTCAGAAGTGCTGGCTGCTTCTGGGGGAATCGTGCAGGAGGCTGTCAGAAAGCCAGCCGTGATTTTCCTCATATGAAGGGATGCAATGGGAATGGACTGTCATTGCCACCAAGCAGAACTGAGCTGCTTATGTCGTGATAGATATCATCTTGGTTATCGATTATGAGCAGTTGCAGTGCGATAGGGCCCTGAAGTAACTGGGAGTTCAGGGAAGAGCCACGAGAAGTGAAATGGCAGTTTGTGTTCTGGCTGTCCAAATGGTGGAGCTTTACTGGAGTGAAAGCTTTGTGTAGGCAGGCCCCGGGTTGATTTGTGTAAGCAGGCCCCCTCTCAGGTTGGTCACAGCTGCTTGCTGTGCCTACCTGCCTGCTCCCTGTGCTTGCTGCATCTGGTACCAGTGGTTGTGGCCAGGCTCCCCAGGGCTGTGGGCCTGGTCCTGAGCTGCTGCAGCTGAAAGACCATCTGCGTTTGGGTTGTCCTTCCTGGAGCATCAGGTTGGACTTGGTGATCCTTGTGGATCCCTTACAACTTGGGGCATTCTGTGATTCTATGATCTTGGTGGTTTGCCTGGAAAATACCAGGTGATTTTTTTTTTTATCCCCTGATGTTTTCACGGCATTTAAACTTGTAGTTTCACTTGTAAATGTGAGAGCGGAGTTGGATAAGGGGAGGGTAAGTTGCTTCTGTATTTGCTGTTCTGCCAGGTGGGTCTGTGTATTTAGTGCCCAAGTTGTGGTAGCTCTGTAACTAGGAATGTTCCTAATGGTTGTGAAAAGACTCTGCTGCCAGCACAGAATTTGGCCACAGGACTGCCTGCTGGCTTAAGTTCTGTAGATTGATTATCTGCTCTTTGAGATGGTCTGTTGTGTTCGTTTTTTCCAAGGCGTCAGGTTTTGAGGTCGCTGAGATGTACGGATTAATCAATCCCTTGCATCGCGTTTGAGCTTGAAGCAGTTGAATCGTCCCACCCAGCACTGTGAAATCAAACCTTACAATGGCTTTGGGATCGTAGCTCTGCGCTGGGCTGTGCCACCGAAACGTGTTGGCGTTTGATGCTCTCGGTGGGTTTTATTTTTTAAGCGAGCATTGGGAATCGCTGAAGTTGAGCAGAGGAGCCTCAGGGGTGTGGTTGTATCAGGTGTGCCTGATTTCCTGAGGACAGGTGGCCTTCTAGTCGAGTTCAGGCTCTGACCCCTCCAAGCAGTAATGGGACGAGTTCCGGGTGATAGCAAGGCTAATGCAGAAAGGTTTGATGAGGCTGTCCCAGAAGAGTTATGGATCCTTAGCAGCCTGGCTGGTGTGTGATGTAATTACGGAGACGTTCCTTGCTCTGTGCTGATGAAGCAGCTGCTGTTACGTAAGGGCATGAAGGTATTGGATCTTAGCTTGAAGCGCAGTGAAGGCAGTTGGAAGGCAGGAAGGTGAGGCGTTGGAATCATAGTGTGAGCCCAAATTCAGCAAACATTATTGCTAAGCAGGGGCCTCGGGTATGTCTCAAGTTTTTCTGATTCCTGTGAGACTTGAACGTCTGCTTACAGGTTTGCAGTGCAGGTGCCTAGGAGCCATGTTTTTCCTAGGGAGAGCGGTGTGCTTGCGTACCTTGTGTGCTCTTCAGCAGGGACATGGTAAAAACCAGTCCTGGATGTTGGGAGAGGAGCAGGGAGAGAGGCGAGCCCGGTCAGTGATGGCAGTCCTGAGCCAACGGGTTTCTGTGCCTCTGCCTAGAGCAGAGACGTTTGGAAATTCTCAGATTAGCTTTGATAAGCCTCTGAGCTTCGGAGTGCTTTTCGTGACCAGTTCAGACCTCTCAAAAGCTTGAGGTTTGTCAAATGAAGTTCATGGGAAAAAAATATTTTGTTACTTAAAAACAGAAACAACAATGAATATGCTAGTAGTGTCACTGTCGTGGAGGAGCACCAAGTAGTAGCCAAGTGATAGGAGAAATAAGGAAGAATGTCCTTTGTTTCTTTTCTCGAGGATCTCCAAGAACTGTTGGTAAATGTGAAAAGACGTGATGTGCGCATGACAAAAGATAGTTCTAACAGTTGGGAAAAATCATGTGAGGGACCCAAGTTTTATGCCGGGTCAAAAAGCTTTGGAACTCTCCCAGAGCAGAGAACAGTTTCTGTGATTTTTGATTTTGCAGAGCAGTTGAAAGCATCAGAGAGGACTTGCTGGCATGTGGATGGAGAGAGTGTTGAGAGGAAGAGGAAGCCAAGTTGTTAAGATCTGTGAAGAAGGAAGGAATTAATTACTGTTTGCATTGGTAAGTCATAGAATCCTAAGGTAGGAAACGACCTACAAGACCATCTGTTCCACCCGTCCTCCCATCACCATTGCCACCACAGGCACTAAAGCACGTAAATGATTTGGATTGAAGTCCAATTACCTACCCAAGTATATTACAGCAATCGTGGAATTGCTATTGCAAAGAGTTTTTCAAAGCCCTTCAGATGGAAAGGCTAAAGGAAATGGAGCTTTGGAGAAGTGAACAGTGCGTATTAAGAAAACAAGCATCTAGAAATCTTAAATCTTAAATCCAGTGATGTTGGCATATAGCTTTCTTCATGAGGGTACTCAGGAATTGTTTTGATAGGGAATGACGCAGTCCCAACACCAGGCGCACGCTCAGCTTGGAAATGCATGCACGTGGTGTGTGCTTGGCCAGCTGCTTGGACTCCATCCCATTGCATCATGGTGTCTTGATCTCTTTGCTCCCTCTGTCGAAGGCTTTGCTCAATCTAGACTCGTTGCAGGTGCTGAGTCTGTTATTTGGATGCACGTGAGATTGATTCAGAGATTAAACAGAAAATAAGGTAGGGTTCTGCCACACTAATTGGAGTGTCTTAGGAGCAGGATCTTGCTTAGGAAGGGTATCTGCCGCAGTGCCGACTGTCGTCGCCCCACAGCCTTTGTGGGACTCAGACCTGTAGAATGAGCTCCTTGAAGAGAGGGGCTCCCGAGGTGTTAATCCATGTAAGCTTCAGAGTGCCAGGTTGTGTGGTGGCCTTTATAGGACAGAACCCGCAGAGAACATGCCTCTGTTGCCCCTGTGCTGTGATGGCACAGCACCTGCTGTGCGTGGGGTCAGTGGGCCTGCAGGCACAGCGGGGTGGGAGCTGAGCCGGCCACAGCCTGGCCTCCACCGTGCAGGGTGCCCTGCCTGCTGCTGGGCTCAGTGCAGCCCTGTGCTGGTGAGGCTGCTTGGGGTGGCTGTGGGGCAGCACTTGGGGCAGCTTCCTGCCGGCAGGACCCCGAGCAGCAGCAGGTTACTGGTGAGAGCAGGGGCGTGGGGGGAGAGCGCAGTGCGCTTGCTGGTACTGCCTCAGAGCAGTGTTGTTGCCTTTAAATGTTTCTGTCTGCTGTGGGACTCGTGTCATTGTCACATCCCACTCTAGAGCGCTCTGTCACTACCTGTGGGAGTACAGGCTAAGAGTACGAGCCTGTGGGATTCCATTTTATCTTTGCTATCCACAGGCAACAGTGGGTGGCTTCCAAACTAGTTGGAATTGTCTCTGCTAAGATGAAGTTTGGCTGCATGTAAGACAGAGCCCTGAGCTGTTGGTATTTTACAGCTGATGCAACCAGACTTTCCGATCTACCGAAGCAGTAGGCTTAGGAACACAGAGTAAGTCCCAGCTGCAGTAGGCGATGGTGTAGCTTGAGCAAGGCTGACCGTGGAGCTCAGGTAGTTCAGATCTTGGTACCTTTTGGTCTTCTGAAGCGTGAATAACTCAGCTGATGTACTTTTCCTTGTATTGTTGCTTCTTCATTGCTGACGGATAATTTCAGTAGTTTTTGCTGGCCGGTTGCTGGCTAGCACAGAATCACAGAATCACCCGGGTTGGAAGGGACCTCAAGGATCATGTAGTTCCAACCCCCCTGCCTCGCAGGGCCACCAAACACACACATTCAGATCAGGTTGCCCAGGACCCCGTCCAACCTGGCCTTGAACACGTCCAAGGACGGGGCATCCACAACCTCCCTGGGCAGCCCGTTCCAGGGCCTAACCACTCTCCTTGTGAAGAACTTCCCCCTAACATCCAACCTCAATCTTCCCTCCTTCAACTTGGATCCATTTCCCCTAGTCCTGCTGTTGTCAGCCCTTTGGAAGAGTTTACTCCCCTCCTGGGTGTAGGTTCCCTTCAGGTATTGATAGGCTGCCATGAGGTCACCCCGCAGCCTTCTCTTCTCCAGGCTGAACGAGCCCAACTCCCTCAGCCTGTCCTCATAGGGGAGGTGCTCCAGCCCCCTGATCATCTTAGTCGCCCTCCTCTGGACCCTTTCCAAGATCTCTCTGTCTTTCTTGTACTGAGGGCTCCACACCTGGACACAGTACTCCAGATGGGGCCTCACAAGAGCCGAGTAGAGAGGGACAATCACCTCCCTGTCCCTGCTGACCACCCCTCTCCTGATGGAGCCCAGGATCCCATTTGCCTTTCGAGCTGCCAGAGCGCACTGCTGGCTCATGTTAAGTCTCTCGTCCATCAGAACCCCGAGGTCCTAGCAGACAGGCTTTTGTTCTTCTCTTGGTAAGGCAGGTGGATGCAAAGACTAAAAGGCAGAGTGATTTTAGAAGTCGTGAATGTTCTGCTTCTGAGTGATTTTCTCCCGTTTTTTGATTCAAACCAGAGGAACTTAGGATTATTTTGATTTTTTGTAATGCCAGGCATTGCGTTCAACTTAAAAAATGAACGCCTTAAGCGTAGCTTTGTTTACGTTTTGGTAACTGCTGAGGCTTTGGCTGACAACAGCTTTCAGCTATGTCTGAACTAGAGTGGGTTTGTCTCATGCTCTTAATGTGTCAGTATTTCTCTTCCAGACCTGTGAATCAATTATTCCTTTGCTATCTCTCTTTTCTGGTTGCTGGAGAGAAGAGTTGCTATGTTACGTGCTGATTTGTACAATCAAGCTTGGTGATTTTCAGACCCCGTGCGGGTCAGCAGCTGCAGCCCTGCGGGCGCCGGTTGCCCCGATGGAGGAGGTGGGAGGGGACGGCGGCACGGAGCTGCTGTCAGACGGAGCTCCGTGGGAGTGCTGGTGCCCTGATGGCTGCTCCTCTTCTCCTTTCCTGCAGGCATCCCAGCAAGCACAGGGCAAAAGAGTGGCTGCCAGGAAATAGGAGCTGGAGCAGATAGGGTGAAGCAGGGGCGCGTCCTCAGAGCTTGGCGTCCTCACAGCTCTGGCTGTGAGGAGGACCTCAGTCCTGGTCCCTGGGGTCCGTGGGTCCCAGAAAAGCCATCCCACGTGGCCCAGCCGTTGTCTTGCAGTAGAAGCAGCTCATCGCCCAGCTGGCAAAGCAGCTGCAGGCTAAGAGGGAGGAGATCGAGGTAGTGTGGAGGGGTGCGGGGATCGGGGCTGCTTGCCCCCAGGCTGGGGAGCTGGAGGAGGGCTGCAGCAGGCAACGGGCACTCACACTTTTGTCTGCCAGGTGCTGCTCCAGGAGAAACAGCGCCTGCAAGAGGAGCTGGAGGAGCTGGAGCTGGAGAATGCGTGCCGAGTGGGACTGGGCCCTGCAGCCCATGCCTGCACCTGGGGCAACAATGGGGCTGCTGGGCTGCTGGGCTCGGCTTCCGTTTGGCATGTGGCGTGACGGAGCAGCCCCATCCCAGCCCCCTGGGGTGGGCACACACTGCTGGGGAGCCCCTGCGGTGACAGAGGCCGCCTGTGCCACTGCGCTGCCAGGCTCCCAGTGTCCTGCACGAGCCCTGGATGTGCAGCAGGGCCCGACCACCATCCCTGCCCCGTGTTCACCTGCGGGAGAAGAAGGAGCAGGTGAGGAGACGACGGCTCGCCTTCTGGATGCAGTGAGTGTCCCCTAATTGCCCTGTGCCCAGCCGCCAGCAGCCGGGCTCCCGGCAGGGGGTTGATGGCCTGGACCCCCACTGCCACCAGCAGGGCTCAAAACAAAATGCTAACAACAACCTATCTAAAACAAAGCTATGTCTACTCTTGGATTTGAAACACTTGTGATTTGTGAGTCCATTTTGGACTCTGTTTTGTTGTCAAAGGGGCTTATTTAGCACTGTGATCCTATCAAGGCACTTCCAGCTCAGATAACGAGACCTTCCTCCAGTGCTTCTATCCTTTGATGTAATAAATGCACACTCTGTTACTCTGTTTGACAGGAGCCCGGGAAGACATTGAAGACGTTGAAGCAGCTTTGGAGATGGAGTGCCTTAACTTCTTTCGTGTTACATTGACCAATTTTTTCAGAGACTGGGGGTAGTATTGGTGAAAATTTTTCAAAATGAAATGAAGTCCAAAAATAAATCCAGAGGTATTATTTAGTGAAATACAAGTTTAAATTAACATCTCTGTATCTTTCTACCTCTATCGTCATTCCACTGGTATTTCTTTGTAATATGGTACCCTTGTCTCCCTAATACGGGAGGGAGAGAAGGTTCTTTTAATATACATATGCCTGATGGCGAGATTAGGGGACGATGGGTGAAATGCTAGCCCAACCAGATTACTACGAGTCCTAGTTGTTGAAGGAGGTGGGGAAGGGAAGGTGGGTGGTAAAGACAGGAAATAAGAGCAAGGAGTCTTTGCAGAAAGCAGGAGAGAGAGAGTCACCACTAGGTTTGGTTCATAGCTCAGACGCTGATCTTCAGAAGTGGTGGGTTGTCAAGGGTTGTTGTTTGGGTGATGATGACAGCAGTGGCAGCAGTACCAACTTCTATACATAAGTCCAAAGTGATCGAGTCAGCTCTCTTTGGAGCGGCAGCTTCTGGCTTTGGGATCTCAGCAGAAACTCCTTTGTTCCCATCTTCCACACCTTGTCAGCAAAGAAGAGGGAGCGGGGAGGTGCTCACCTGCATCTTGTTGTTTTTCACAGTACGTGATGGTATAATTCCCCAGTCTCCCACACGAAGCTGGAGTTATTTGCTCCCAGGCCAGATCTTCTGCTAGTGAAAGCTCCTGAGAACTCTCTTCTGAAGGCAAGGAGTTCCAAAGGAAATGCTTTCAAATGTCCACAAAGTTATGTTGATTGCCACACGGTGACACTCATCAGTCACCTCCTGGGTAAGTCAGTTAGAGTCTTATCCCCAAAAATACCTCAAAAAGCAAGCCTGGAGCCAAGAAAAAAAAGAAGGCTTCAGACCCTTGTGTATTGCCATACTTGACAAGAATACTCCTGCATAATTGTCAGCCACTGATAGTATTCCTGTTTTATGTACTAACTAGATAACAGAACTCTTGCAGAGAAATAGTAGTATTGAAGCGCAAAGTCAGACACGTAAACATTTGCAAATGCTACATTTAATATTTCCCAATGAAATGTTATTCATGTGCTATTGAGGATCCATTATTGTACGGCCTTGAATCATGTGATCACTTGCTATTTTTCGTCAAGTCTTCATCTTAGGTACGGCATGTAAGTCGCTTACTTAGTCAGCAACTTTTCAATCTTTTACATTTTTCTGTTCTGTGAACAGCCCGATACCTTATTTACCGCATAGTATTCCAACTGTGCTTTGAAAACAGAACAGTTAGAATCATAGAATCACCAAGGTTGGAAAAGACCTCAAAGATCACCCAGTCCAACCGTTCGCCTATTGCCAATAGCTGAATGTAGACAGACGGCCATTAGGGCTCTTCCAAGTAGTCAGATGTTGTGTAGAGCAAAAACCCACCTGCAGGGCAAGATTGAGATTAAGTGAAAATTGAACGAGTTTTGGAGCCATTTCAACATTTTTCCCTTGGTTTTTCCAGCTCCAGGGATGAGAAGAAGCTCTGAAAGAACTAGAAGCCTCTCTGGATAAACCAAAAGAGGTGGTCGAATTTAAGGATGCCTATTGCCTGAAGTGCCATTTGACTTGGTGTTTGTTATCTGGAGCCGTCATGCGTTTGCCAGCTTTAGTGCTTCTTTCTTTAAAGCACTTGCAATACGGAGTTGGAAGTTGATCAGATGGCTTTAAAAGTGAAGCTGACAGGAGCTGCGAGTGCTGCAGGAGCCCTGTTGTGTGCAGCTGTCTGCGATGGGTGCATGGAGCAGCAGTGAAGATGTGCAGCTGTTTCCTTCAGACAGACACGCAGCCATAACCCTGCCTTCTGCATCGCTTCCTGTGGATTTTTGTTATTTCCTAGAATCCTGCAAGCTTTCTTTGTTGTTTTGATTTCATCGATAGCTTTGCTTTGCTATTTTTTGCTTTGCTCTGCTGCATGAGAAGCGTTGAATCGCAGCCTGACCCACTGACGGAGCAGCTGAGGAAAGCAGCCGGTGAGCCGTGCGAGCGCAGCTGAAGGCAATGGAGCCTGGCTGGAAGGGGCGGAGCCTGGCTGCCCCTCCTGGAGCTCCTGTAAGGGCTGACTGGCCCGGGGGCAGGGCTTGTTTCTGGAAGGTTCTGTGCTGTGGAGTTTGTTGTAATATGCAGATATTGTGCTGGTGTTTGTGCCGCAACGTGCGTGATGGCTTTCTTTCTGCTTTGCTTTTTGTGTTGCGCGGGGCCGGGGGGCGGGGCGACGCGCGGCCGGAGGTGCGGGGGGGGGGGGGGCCGGGGCGTTTCTTTTTTTTTCTTTGCTGCTGTGTTGTTGCAGCTGCTCTTCTGTATTGTCGTTGCTTTGTTCTTCGTGAATATTCAAGCATGTTATCTCTGCATTGGCTGTCATCCAGCGTTCTCTGCTCTGTTTTGCAGGTCAGCTCGTGCTGGAAGTTGGTGGTGTGGCTGTGTGAATGAAGGCCAGTTCAGGAGCAGCTGCTGATGGAAGGAATGAAGTCCACGTTAAAGAGCTGAAGCATCTCCTGGTTAGGTGTCAGAGCCAGCAGTAGCGATGCCTGTCTGTCTCTGTGAAAACCAGAGGGCTGGCTCATCCAAGTGCTTGCTGATTGATGTGTGAGAGCATCTGCCTTCTCCAACTGAATGATAAGAAAACTATACGTGCTGAATCATTACTTATGCAGATTATGCCGAAGTTGTGAATATGCTCTCCAATGTTTCCTTTAGTGATAAACTGTGTTTCGGCACTGTGGTGGTCCTGTCTCTGATGTGGAGCACTGCATCTCTTGCAAGCCTTGTGTGCCCGTTTGCATGAACCTTCCTTTCTTTCACTTTTCAGAAGTGCTGGCTGCTTCTGGGGGAATCGTGCAGGAGGCTGTCAGAAAGCCAGCCGTGATTTTCCTCATATGAAGGGATGCAATGGGAATGGACTGTCATTGCCACCAAGCAGAACTGAGCTGCTTATGTCTGATAGATATCATCTTGGTTATCGATTATGAGCAGTTGCAGTGCGATAGGGCCCTGAAGTAACTGGGAGTTCAGGGAAGAGCCACGAGAAGTGAAATGGCAGTTTGTGTTCTGGCTGTCCAAATGGTGGAGCTTTACTGGAGTGAAAGCTTTGTGTAGGCAGGCCCCGGGTTGATTTGTGTAAGCAGGCCCCCTCTCAGGTTGGTCACAGCTGCTTGCTGTGCCTACCTGCCTGCTCCCTGTGCTTGCTGCATCTGGTACCAGTGGTTGTGGCCAGGCTCCCCAGGGCTGTGGGCCTGGTCCTGAGCTGCTGCAGCTGAAAGACCATCTGCGTTTGGGTTGTCCTTCCTGGAGCATCAGGTTGGACTTGGTGATCCTTGTGGATCCCTTACAACTTGGGGCATTCTGTGATTCTATGATCTTGGTGGTTTGCCTGGAAAATACCAGGTGATTTTTTTTTTTATCCCCTGATGTTTTCACGGCATTTAAACTTGTAGTTTCACTTCTAAATGTGAGAGCGGAGTTGGATAAGGGGAGGGTAAGTTGCTTCTGTATTTGCTGTTCTGCCAGGTGGGTCTGTGTATTTAGTGCCCAAGTTGTGGTAGCTCTGTAACTAGGAATGTTCCTAATGGTCGTGAAAAGACTCTGCTGCTGCCAGCACAGAATTTGGCCACAGGACTGCCTGCTGGCTTAAGTTCTGTAGATTGATTATCTGCTCTTTGAGATGGTCTGTTGTGTTCATTTTTTCCAAGGCGTCAGGTTTTGAGGTCGCTGAGATGTACGGATTAATCACTCCCTTGCATCGCGTTTGAGCTTGAAGCAGTTGAATCGTCCCACCCAGCACTGTGAAATCAAACCTTACAATGGCTTTGGGATCGTAGCTCTGCGCTGGGCTGTGCCACCGAAACGTGTTGGCGTTTGATGCTCTCGGTGGGTTTTATTTTTTAAGCGAGCATTGGGAATCGCTGAAGTTGAGCAGAGGAGCCTCAGGGGTGTGGTTGTATCAGGTGTGCCTGATTTCCTGAGGACAGGTGGCCTTCTAGTCGAGTTCAGGCTCTGACCCCTCCAAGCAGTAATGGGACGAGTTCCGGGTGATAGCAAGGCTAATGCAGAAAGGTTTGATGAGGCTGTCCCAGAAGAGTTATGGATCCTTAGCAGCCTGGCTGGTGTGTGATGTAATTACGGAGACGTTCCTTGCTCTGTGCTGATGAAGCAGCTGCTGTTACGTAAGGGCATGAAGGCATTGGATCTTAGCTTGAAGCGCAGTGAAGGCAGTTGGAAGGCAGGAAGGTGAGGCGTTGGAATCATAGTGTGAGCCCAAATTCAGCAAACATTATTGCTAAGCAGGGGCCTCGGGTATGTCTCAAGTTTTTCTGATTGCTGTGAGACTTGAACGTCTGCTTACAGGTTTGCAGTGCAGGTGCCTAGGAGCCATGTTTTTCCTAGGGAGAGCGGTGTGCTTGCGTACCTTGTGTGCTCTTCAGCAGGGACATGGTAAAAACCAGTCCTGGATGTTGGGAGAGGAGCAGGGAGAGAGGCGAGCCCGGTCAGTGATGGCAGTCCTGAGCCAACGGGTTTCTGTGCCTCTGCCTAGAGCAGAGACGTTTGGAAATTCTCAGATTAGCTTTGATAAGCCTCTGAGCTTCGGAGTGCTTTTCGTGACCAGTTCAGACCTCTCAAAAGCTTGAGGTTTGTCCGTCTCTGGTTTTCAAATGAAGTTCATGGGAAAAAAATATTTTGTTACTTAAAAACAGAAACAACAATGAATATGCTAGTAGTGTCACTGTCGTGGAGGAGCACCAAGTAGTAGCCAAGTGATAGGAGAAATAAGGAAGAATGTCCTTTGTTTCTTTTCTCGAGGATCTCCAAGAACTGTTGGTAAATGTGAAAAGACGTGATGTGCGCATGACAAAAGATAGTTCTAACAGTTGGGAAAAATCATGTGAGGGACCCAAGTTTTATGCCGGGTCAAAAAGCTTTGGAACTCTCCCAGAGCAGAGAACAGTTTCTGTGATTTTTGATTTTGCAGAGCAGTTGAAAGCATCAGAGAGGACTTGCTGGCATGTGGATGGAGAGAGTGTTGAGAGGAAGAGGAAGCCAAGTTGTTAAGATCTGTGAAGAAGGAAGGAATTAATTACTGTTTGCATTGGTAAGTCATAGAATCGTAAGGTAGGAAACGACCTACAAGACCATCTGTTCCACCCGTCCTCCCATCACCATTGCCACCACAGGCACTAAAGCACGTAAATGATTTGGATTGAAGTCCAAATACCTACCCAAGTATATTACAGCAATCATGGAATTGCTATTGCAAAGAGTTTTTCAAAGCCCTTCAGATGGAAAGGCTAAAGGAAATGGAGCTTTGGAGAAGTGAACAGTGCGTATTAAGAAAACAAGCATCTAGAAATCTTAAATCTTAAATCCAGTGATGTTGGCATATAGCTTTCTTCATGAGGGTACTCAGGAATTGTTTTGATAGGGAATGACGCAGTCCCAACACCGGGCGCACGCTCAGCTTGGAAATGCATGCACGTGGTGTGTGCTTGGCCAGCTGCTTGGACTCCATCCCATTGCATCATGGTGTCTTGATCTCTTTGCTCCCTCTGTCGAAGGCTTTGCTCAATCTAGACTCGTTGCAGGTGCTGAGTCTGTTATTTGGATGCACGTGAGATTGATTCAGAGATTAAACAGAAAATAAGGTAGGGTTCTGCCACACTAATTGGAGTGTCTTAGGAGCAGGATCTTGCTTAGGAAGGGTATCTGCCGCAGTGCCGACTGTCGTCACCCCACAGCCTTTGTGGGACTCAGACCTGTAGAAGAGCTCCTTGAAGAGAGGGGCTCCCGAGGTGTTAATCCATGTAAGCTTCAGAGTGCCAGGTTGTGTGGTGGCCTTTATAGGACAGAACCCGCAGACAACATGCCTCTGTTGCCCCTGTGCTGTGATGGCACAGCACCTGCTGTGCGTGGGGTCAGTGGGCCTGCAGGCACAGCGGGGTGGGAGCTGAGCCGGCCACAGCCTGGCCTCCACCGTGCAGGGTGCCCTGCCTGCTGCTGGGCTCAGTGCAGCCCTGTGCTGGTGAGGCTGCTTGGGGTGGCTGTGGGGCAGCACTTGGGGCAGCTTCCTGCCGGCAGGACCCCGAGCAGCAGCAGGTTACTGGTGAGAGCAGGGGCGTGGGGGGAGAGCGCAGTGCGCTTGCTGGTACTGCCTCAGAGCAGTGTTGTTACCTTTAAATGTTTCTGTCTGCTGTGGGACTCGTGTCATTGTCACATCCCACTCTAGAGCGCTCTGTCACTACCTGTGGGAGTACAGGCTAAGAGTACGAGCCTGTGGGATTCCATTTTATCTTTGCTATCCACAGGCAACAGTGGGTGGCTTCCAAACTAGCTGGAATTGTCTCTGCTAAGATGAAGTTTGGCTGCATGTAAGACAGAGCCCTGAGCTGTTGGTATTTTACAGCTGATGCAACCAGACTTTCCGATCTACCGAAGCAGTAGGCTTAGGAACACAGAGTAAGTCCCAGCTGCAGTAGGCGATGGTGTAGCTTGAGCAAGGCTGACCGTGGAGCTCAGGTAGTTCAGATCTTGGTACCTTTTGGTCTTCTGAAGCGTGAATAACTCAGCTGATGTACTTTTCCTTGTATTGTTGCTTCTTCATTGCTGACGGATAATTTCAGTAGTTTTTGCTGGCCGGTTGCTGGCTAGCACAGAATCACCCGGGTTGGAAGGGACCTCAAGGATCATGTAGTTCCAACCCCCCTGCCTAGCAGGGCCACCAAACACACACATTCAGATCAGGTTGCCCAGGACCGCGTCCAACCTGGCCTTGAACACGTCCAAGGACGGGGCATCCACAACCTCCCTGGGCAGCCCGTTCCAGGGCCTAACCACTCTCCTTGTGAAGAACTTCCCCCTAACATCCAACCTCAATCTTCCCTCCTTCAACTTGGATCCATTTCCCCTAGTCCTGCTGTTGTCAGCCCTTTGGAAGAGTTTACTCCCCTCCTGGCTGTAGGTTCCCTTCAGGTATTGATAGGCTGCCATGAGGTCACCCCGCAGCCTTCTCTTCTCCAGACTGAACAAGCCCAACTCCCTCAGCCTGTCCTCATAGGGGAGGTGCTCCAGCCCCCTGATCATCTTAGCCGCCCCCCTCTGGACCCTTTCCAAGATCTCTATGTTTTTCTTGTACTGAGGGCTCCACACCTGGACACAGTACTCCAGATGGGGCCTCACAAGAGCCGAGTAGAGAGGGACAATCACCTCCCTCTCCCTGCTGACCACCCCTCTCCTGATGGAGCCCAGGATCCCATTTGCCTTTCGAGCTGCCAGAGCGCACTGCTGGCTCATGTTAAGTCTCTCGTCCATCAGGACCCCGAGGTCCTAGCAGAAAGGCTTTTGTTCTTCTCTTGGTAAGGCAGGTGGATGCAAAGACTAAAAGGCAGAGTGATTTTAGAAGTCGTGAATGTTCTGCTTCTGAGTGATTTTCTCCCGTTTTTTGATTCAAACAAGAGGAAATTAGGATTATTTTGATTTTTTGTAATGCCAGGCATTGCGTTCAACTTAA